CAAGAAAGCTGGTCATGAATTATTTATTATAACGACCTACTGAATGAAAAATTAATTGTCCAACAGATTAAACTCCAACTATACAAAACACTTAGGATTTTTCTGATTTTCTTTTAAAGATACATGCTCACTCTTACAAATAGCCTACCATATATTTCTAGAGCTATATGCACAATCTTAAAAGAATTATTCTATACTTGTTATTCTATTATCTGTTTAAAGCAGGAGTATGACGTGGACAACTGACCATGACAATAATATAGGTCTCACTGTCTTTTTTTTTTTTAATGGGGCATAATATGGTTACTAATATATCAATAATTAATTAATGGCTACAAAATGACAGCTAAAACGCAGCATCTGCCATGTTCATGCACTAGTCTAAGTATTACAAGTTTCATATGTACTAATTCTTTTAATCATGACAACAACCCTACGAAACAGGGCAATTTATTATTAACTCTATTTATAAAAATGAGGAAACAGAAGCATAGAAAACTTAAGCAACTTGCCCAAGGTCACATAACTAATAAGCAGTGACACTAGGTTTCCAACCCAGATGGTGCAGCTCCTAAGTCCATTCCTTAACGATTTGCTCCTGTGTGTTATACCTTAATTTAACCAGCAAATTGTTGAGGAACACAAGGTGGCCCAAAGGTTTGCTGTCATAAACAACAGACATTCTTGAGTATTCAATTTACACAGTTATACAATTATCTCCATGAAATAAAATTGTATAAGTGGAATTTATGAGTTAAAAAAAATTTTTTCTTGATAAATATTGCCAATTCAGAAGCATCAAAATACGTCCATAGATACTGAGAGTTTAATAAAGACAATGAGTAAAGAATTGGCATCCCTTAAAAATTATCAAATAATATGTGTGGTTTTGCTTATAGACATATATACTATATAAAAATGTATTAATTATAATAAACATTAATATAATATAAATATATATAAAAATTAATAACAGTGGTTACCTATAGGTTTTGAAAGGCTAGGAACAGAGGGGAATGGAAGAGAGTGTTGGAAGGCAATTTTTAAAAGTACATCTTTATGTACTGTATGTATTTTATATTAACACATATATTAAACAATGTGAATGTCCTACCTTTCCCAAAATTAAAATTATAATTTTTCATATAACCAGAAATAGAAGAGAGCCCAGAGATAATCTAGTCCAATTCAATTCCATTAGTTCACTAGACTTTACATGAAAGGAAACAGATCAAACATTTCACCCTGTCCTAAAGTTAGTGCTAGATTTGTGTGTTCTGATTCCAAGCCAAGGTTCCTCCATTTACAATGCTGTTTCTCAATAAAATTACCCATTGACACATTCCAAAAACTAAATGCCAAGTTCAAACATTTCACCCTGTCCTAAAGTTAGTGCTAGATTTGTGTGTTCTGATTCCAAGCCAAGCTTCCTCCATTTACAATACTGTTTCTCAATAAAATTACCCATTGACACATTCCAAAAACTAAATGCCAAGTTAAGGCAAAATGCCATGCCCTTTGCCATACAAAACAGAAATCCCTGGAGGAAAAACACTGAGTTATTTGCACATACCTCTGTAAAACTGAAGAAGAGGCCAATGCCACCAACAAATCTCAAAACCTCTCCAGCATATTTTCCTATTATCGGAGCACACAGTGAGCACGGGTGGCCACTTTTAACACAGCTCTGTACCAATTAAAGATAAGAACTTTTATTTCAAAGTACATTTATAAAGAGCATTTAAAAACTGCACACGCAAAATATTCCTGTCTGGGGGTATTATATACAATTTGGGAACTTGGTTTTATAGTGTGCAAATTTCTACGATTCCTGCCCGCAGTGTACATGCCCTATATGATTCCTCCCCTTGAGTGTGGGTGGAACATGTATATTTGATGGGATAGTCACTCTCATGTTTATGCTGTGTTCCATAAGACCCCATCATAACAGAAGGGAGAGATTCTCATGCTGACTTGGATCTGACATGTTGTGAGAGGGCCGCATAGTTAGGACCTGAGAGCAGCTTCTGGTTGTTGAGAGAGACCTCCAGAAAACAGCCAGCAAGAAAAAAGGGGCTCAGTCCTACAACCACAAGCAACTAAATACTGCCAACAACGACTGAGCTTCGTAGAGAACTGCGAGCCTCAGGTGAGACGGCAGCCCCAGCTGACACCTTCATTTCAGCCTGATAAGACCCTGAGCAGAGGACCCAGCTAAGTCATACCCAGACTCCTGACTCATAGAAACTGTGAGCTGATAAATGGGTATAGTTTTAAGCCACTAACTTTGTGATAATATGTTACATAGCAATGGAAAACTAATACAGACCCCTACGAGGAGACAATACTACAAAAGAGGCCTCATTGAGGGAATACCTGGCTCGGGGCTCAGAGAGGTGGTAATAGGCTTTTCCCCCAAATATAAACACATGTAAACTGATGTATGGTTATTTCTCTTTCACAACTTATTCTACGAGAAGAAGGGAAGCAATGAGGGACAATAAATCAAAAGCGTCTGTGTCCCGCAGGACCCTAAAATTTTCAGCACTCTTAGGAGTGGATATTTGAGAACAAGCAAATGATATAATAGTTTCTATGGAAATATATGTAAAACAATTGTGAAATACAATTCAGCATCAGAAAGTCCATTTCTTCTACAATCATTACTCAACAGTGTGTAACACATTTCCAAAAAATATTTTATATTTTGTACTTACAGCCTGACAGGTGTCATTTGGATTAAAACTTCGGAACCCACAGCAGTTTAAATTTCTCTGGATGTCATTCCGAGCACTTGCTGTATTGTTCCAACCAACCTCCAAAAGCTGACCCTAGAAAATGTATTTAATATATACAATAAAATGTATCATTGCTGCCTAAAATGTACAAAGCTAGAGCCTATATCTTTTAGTAGTGAGTGTGCCTAAAATACTCTTTATAAGACCATTAAAATTTTTCAAAGGCTTATCCCTCAATCGACAACGAAAATTAAGGCACTATTTCTATCCTAAGAAAAAAAAAGGTCTTAATTTTTACATGCCATTTAAAAGAAGCACTTGGTTCAAAGGCTCAATTATCAGGGTGTAACAAGACAATCTTTCTGTTGCCCCAAGACAGAAACCATATTTCTCTACAAATTAGAATCTGAAAAGAGTTGCTAGAATGGAACTACAAATATTCTGGAGCAAATATTTCATTGCATAATGGTGGGAGAAGACTGGGTGAACATCGCAGTAGCACTTTTTACCCAGTGAAAACAAAATCCTATTGAAAGGATACAAAAAATAGCAACACCTGATGGTGTCTGGCTCCAATTAGCCCCACGAATGCAATCAGGAACAAGAGAGCTTAGCTATTCATGGTAAAATGGCATTCTGAGCAAGAAAAAATTATTTTATAATTCAATATTTCTCTCCCTTTTTTCATACTCATGCTATGTGGTATAATAAAGTAGAAGGAAAAAGTCTTCGCTTACCTGCTGTTCCTGATTCAGGGCTAAACAAGCACAAGATACAGAAAACTGAACAATAAATACCAGTAAGAGAATAATCATATACTGGGTGAAAAGTTAAGGATAGCTCTAAGTACTCTCGAAATAGCATAAAACAGAGGTACTGACAACTTAAGAATGCAATAAAGTAATTTAAAACTGAACAATAAATACCAGTAAGAGAATAATCATATACTGGGTGAAAAGTTAAGGATAGGTCTAAGTACTCTCGAAATAGCATAAAACAGAGGTACTGACAACTTAAGAATGCAATAGAAGTAATTCGCCCAGAAAACAGAACAGATGACACTTACGGAAAGTTCAGAAAGAATACACATAATTATTATTTTGATAATACACTGCAGCTACAAATTTATAGCGAAAAAGTCTAGTGATAATGATAATGAAAAACACATCTACTTGAATTTCATTCAAAATGAAATAAAAATTCTTATATATATAAAATAGGAAATAAGTATACATGAAAGCATGTAAACTTTCTTAATATTAAAAAAAAAAAAAAAAACACTGAAATTCCCAACCAAATATTGATATGCTAGAAAGGGCCTAGAAGTCACTGAATCATTTCACTTTAAATCTGAATTTGTAATACTTAAGTAGAATGATACTGAGCTTGCAAAATACATTCTTTATGATGTGACAAGGAGAAAATGGAAATATGTAAAAATACAATAAATTTAAGAAATGTGCCTAATATTGAATGTACAAATATGCACAGAGCTTTCTAGGAGTTGATTTCTGGCAACTAATTTCCTAATGATAATATTAAATTAGTTGTAGCTGTCAAAGTAGTAATCAACAATGAATAAGAACTCACCCAACTGGGGTAAAAAACCCTGATTTTAAAAAAGGATACAAAAAATAGCAACACCTGATGGTGTTTCACGGCTCCGATCAGCCCCACTAATGCAATCAGGAACAAGAAGATGCCCACCGCAATGACCACGCCGACCACCCGGAGACTGGAAATCAGTCCAAAGCCAATGCCCCACGCAGCAATTCCAATTAGCAACAGACTAACCAACTGCAAAATCAACGAGGCGGGGGGGAGGTTGTCAGGGAAAAGAGAGAGAAAAGGGAGAAAGAGTCAGTTTATATAATATCAAGAACATTTTTTAGGCACCTACTCAATACCTTACAAACAAGTGTTAATACTAGAATACACACAAGATCTCAGTAGATAGCACTGTTTTAACAAATTATGTTAATCTTCAGTCATGCTTTAAAAAAAGACTAACAATAACCTATAAAATTATCATGGAGTTTCAGATCTGGTTTACTAAATCTAAATGCATGCTACTTAAGCTTTTGAAGTAAGAGCACATGTAAAACTTCTAGAAGCCAATACATCTCAATCCAACATACTGTTCTCTTCACATGGAAATCACTCACTTTCCTTCAAAGCCCAGTTGGACTGTAACCTCCTCTGTGAAGCCTTCCTAATCCCCTACAGACTGAATTAATCCATCCCTTATCTGGACAATCTCCGTTTCTTGAACATGGTTCCACTCTTACTGCTGTCACACCCACACTCTATTTCCAAGCCTGTTTCTGCAGGAGATGAAAGAAAGTCGTGAGGACCCCCATCTTTTCACCTCTGTATATCCCATATCCTCAGCACCTATCACAGGACCAGTCCCCGGAGAACACTCAAAAATTGCTCACAGAATTGTTGCTGAAATAAATTCCTTTTGATATCATTATCTAGTCTACTAGAGTTCATATTTAGAGAGACCACTAAAACTTTTAGCAGGATAAAAAGAGTATAAGAGATTTTAGCTATTTAGAATGAAATGGCATAGCTAAGCAAGAAGAAATTATTTTATAGTCTAATCATTTTATTTACATTTTCATAACACAACAGCAGGTGAATAAGTAGAATATATAATTATGACCTATAAAGTTCAGTTACAATTTCTTCTTTAAAATAGCACTTAAATAAATAGTATGCCACACAAAGACTATAACTAATTAATTAGAAGATATAGCTTAAATAGGTATCTGGGAGGAGAAGGGGGAGAGGCTGTGGGCAGAAAGGAGACACAGCCAATTCAATCGTGAGTTCAACACTTCCTGGAACAACTTGTTAGAAAGAATCAAAATATAAAAAATACATATTTTGTTACCATTTAAAGGCCTGATAAGCTCTGTTTAGAAATATAAATATAAATCACCATTTACTCAAGTGGATCTTTTTTCTGCTCAAATGTGTAATTTATCATATGTAGAACAATAGTTTATTAAATGAATTTTACACTTACTGGTATATAAAACTTCTTACATATGTAGAGAGGCAAGCAAAACTGCTAAATATTGAGCATCTATTTGTATTTTTTTTCTTTTCCTTTCCTCCACTTTTATACAGGTAAAATGTAATTTTATCCAAAGTATTTTTGTATTTTTGCCAGAGACAAAACTTGAGAATAAAAGAAGCCATATGTATGCATGACAGAACTTGGTGGTACGCACAGAAAGCTTTTCTTTTCAGAGGGAAAAATTCTCACAAATTTTGGCCCCCAGAAATTTGTCTAGTCCCTCTCATTTTCTCATTTTGCTCCTTATCAGCACGCCCATTTGCTTCTGTCTCATGTTTATCACACTCACTCACATTCTCACAACTTCAAACAACCTTGGGCTGAGAAAAAGGCCTCTGCCCCTTCACAAGTGAGCTTATTTCTGACTTGTGCTGTCCAAATATAACACATTTCTTTACACAAGCTGTAAAAGGCAGAGAAGCCTGGAGGAGGTGAGAAGAGAGAAGAGAGGGCTGTGCTTAGCATCCTCACTGTCCACGTTTGCAACACATTGGAGCAGCTTGCTGTGTCTGTTTCCAGAGCAACAGAAACAATAAGAAATATTCTACATCTATACCTATCTGTCGAGAATTAATGAGACAGAGACAGATTTTAAAGAATCGGCCCACGTGATTGTCGTGACTGGCAAAGTCAGAAATTTGTAGAGCAGACCAGCAGGCTAGACACCAAGGCAGAATTCCTTCTTCCTCAGGAAACCTCAGTCTTTGCTCTTAAGGTCTGCAACTGGTTGGATAAGGCTTACCCACATCATGGAGCGTAATCTGACTCACCTCAACTCAACTCATGGTAAATGTTTGTCACATCTACAAAATGCCTTCACAGCAGCATCTAGACTGGCATTTCGCCGAACAACTGGGCACCACAGCCTAGCCAAGTTGACACATGAGACTAATCATCCCCCCCTGCCAACATCAAGTCCTGGGTGTGATGATTATTTCCTAATTTGATTAAATTCATGGACAGGACTACTGCTCTGCATTTTTAGTCTTAGAGCCAAAAAGATCAGAAGCATGAATATGATAATATAAAATTCTTCTAACCCCATAGTTTTAAAGAATCCTTTTGGGAATCATACCAATCCTTACTATATTAGTGAAATTCTTAAATATTACGAGTATTAAAGTTAAATATTCTTAAATATTAAATTAAAAGTTAATTACTCATCAACAAATGTTTG